ATACACCAATGCCAGGGTTCTCTACACTTTTTCTTCCAAATACCAACCCTGCCCAATATACCACAAAAGATAATGTTGGTATTTTCTTCCAAATACCAACCCTGCCCAATATACCACAAAAGAGGATGTCAGTAAGCTTGCTTATCCCATTCTGTTCCAGAAAGCTGTTGCTTTCAGCAGTAATGAATATGACCCCCCCTTTTTTTTAGCACCTGCCAATGCAAACATATATGCTGAGCCAAAAACTAATTCCTCATCCAGATCCAGAGTGGTTATGACTTTGTGCCTAGAGATTGAACAGAGGCATTTGTTAAATACCAGCCAACTAGAGTAAACAGTCAAGATCATCTTGCTTCCAAACATTCAGTCACAAGGAAGACCTATCAGAAGAGTTGATGGACATTCAAGCAATGGTCTAGAAGAAGGAACCTTGTGACAATGATAATGGAATTATGGGCCTTATTGGTTTCTTAAAAACCAAACTGAACAAGAAAGTGGCAGAAAAATACCTTGTGAGGCAGGGCATCACCTTGGCTCTGCCTTTCAATAGTATGCTTTGTTCTGTTAACTGAATTTTCCATATTTGTAATCATCAGCTCAAAATATTAATTTGTAACTCTTGCCCAATTCTCTAATGCAAAGGATTGGATGTTGTGCATTTCAAGAATGTTCAGAACATCTTCTGTTTGGCTGGATTTAGACAGACTATATTTTTGGGTGTAATTATTATTAGCAATGGTTCAAAACACTTTTTAAAAAATATCTGACACTGTGTTCATTTCATTGATACTGTTCTTCTCGTTCTCAGTTAAAGTCATTTACCGATATCTGCACACAATCAAAGGTTGGGCTATGCTGCATTGCCTGTCATGCTCTTTGCTGTAGGATACCTGATTACGTGCAAGAAAAAGTGCCTTTATATTCAATAACTTTTATTTTTTTCCAATGACCATAATTGAAGTAGCCAAATCTCGTTAGGTATGCAGCATTTGATATCACATTCATTATGCAAATTCCTAGTCCCCAGATACCCTATATTAATACTTTATGAAGCAAGTAAAGAATGGCTTAGAAGCAATAACAGCAAATATGATGGCAAAAAATGAATATTGTTATATTATTTAAACATTAATGCCCAAAGTATGGCCTATTCAAACATAGTGTTTTAGAAAAGATTTCCCTTCCCCAAATCACAATTTTCACACTGAAAATTTAAACTAGAGAATATTAAACATCAAACTGTATGTTGATATTGCAAGTCTTCACCTCATACAAATTTACATCAGGAAATCATTTCCTCCCTTTTTTTATTGCCAGGTGTGAGTGATGTTTCTTAAGCAATCAAAGCATAAATTATGCAGGTCACCCAAAATACTTAGAAATCCCTGTGTAAAAGTGATTTAAAAATCTCAAAACAGTCTAATGGGGACTGAACATGTTCAGTAAAGGAAAGGGAGGATAGAAAACAGACACAGAGTATCAATGTATAGAGCACAAATTATTTACTTTCTTCTTCTTTTTACTTTGCTTGAAATTATAGGCAACTCCTATCCTGAGACTTTGAGTAGTTAACCGTTCCCCAACAAAATAATGTTAAACTACAAACATAAGATCAAAAATTAACATTAAACAACAGTCAAACAAAAGCCAAGAGCTGGCATCCTCGTTCAGCCTTAGGAGCAACTCAAATATCTATGATATCCTCAAATGCTTTACAAAAGAGCCAGGTCTCTGAAATACAACAGGGATGGGACCATATCCTGGATAAACTGTTCCAGAGAAAGGGTGACACCAGCCTATCACTGACATTCTTAGGGGAGACACTTCTATTAATTCTCATTGGATGGACAGAAAACAATTGGAGTAGGCAGCCTCATAAGATACTCAGGCCCAAAACTATAAGGTTTAAAGGCAATAATTATCTTTGAATTGCATCCAGAAGTCAACCGGTAACCTTTAAACTCCTGCCACAGAGGAGACACATGGGTAACATGGAGACAGCCCATGACCACATGAGCTGCCACATTTTGATTCCAAGTGACCTTCAAGCGCAGCCCATGTAGAATTAATCACAATAGTCAGGAAATGAGGTGAAAAGGACATAAGTGACCATCCATAACCAACTAACACAGAAGCATTCAATATGGCCATATTCTGTTGCAAATTTCACTTTTTAAAAAAGTATTGATGGCATATGTTTGTTTGTTCTCACCTAGAAAGGCAGAGGGTGAGACAGTCCCATTGCTTCTGGCTACCATGACACTAATGCCCGTCTCCACAAAAGGTACAGAAAAATCAATAATTTGGGAGCGTTCCTCATTGATGGTAAGAGACCCGATGGCCATATCTGCTCGCTGGTAATATACCTGGACGGTGGAAGAACAGAAAGAGAGGACATGAATAATAATGTCATTCAACAGAACCAGCACCAAATACAGATACCAATAAATTTCTGCTTGCTTTCATTTTGCACCCCTTAGCAAATTAAAGAATGAAAGGTAAATATGATCTGAAGTCAATTTTGACTCCTGGTGACTTTGAGAATACATCCATGTGGTTTTTTTGGAAACAGGATGGACATGGTTTGGTTATGTTGGAACCATGAAGAGTTGTATTTCAAGATGAGCAGCCATACAATTCTGTTAAATAAACAAATGGTTTCCTGTTGTTTTCTTTCACAACTTCTTTTTTAAAACTTTCCAATGTAGCCCACAGCCCTGTTTTTCTTTGGAGGTCTCCCAGTTCAAACTCTAATCAGGCCCAGCCTTGCTTAACTTCCAAGCACAGACAAAATTGGCCAGGTGCTGCCCCCTGTTGAGAATAAAGCTTTGTGTCTATGCAGGCTTACTTGAGAATAAGCCTCACAGAACTCGGTGGGACTTATTTTCAAGGGGGGGGGGGGAAGGTTGTACCTTGAAGGGACCTCTTTGCATGGCAACCCTACAGATACTATGATACTACCAGTACTTCAGATCAAGTGTACTTAAGAAGAGAGATTTCTTGATTGAAAATTTCTGTACCTGGATGAATCCAGCCCTTAAAAATGTGTTCGTGCACCATCAAGAAACAATTTCCCACCATATATAGCTCTCCCAACCCCATTTTCCCCTCTGCGTGTCAGGATTGACATTGATGTCCTCTCAGCAGAGACACAAGCAAGGAATAGATTTGGCCAGAAATAGTGGGACGCTTGATTCTTTCACAACTCTGCCCTTTTTCTCTTACAGATACTATATAGCAGTGGTAACGAACCTATGGCACACGTGCCAGAGGTGGCACTCGGAGCCCTCTCTGTGGGCACACTTGCTGTTGCCCCAGCCTCGCCTCCCCCGTGACCCCCTCCTCACCAGCAGCCGACCTGGAGGAGAGATGCCCCCGAGCGTGGCCCACGCGGAGCAGCGCAGCCAAGGACATGGCAGCCAGGCAGCGTGGACAAGTCTCTGCCCTCATGCCCCATCGCGCACAGTTGGTGCTGTGGAGCGTGGGCAGAGGGCGTGGCCGCCATGAAGCTGCTGGGCTGCCTGGGCGATCTGTGGTGGGCCCGAGAGGTGGTGAGTGGCCCTGTGGACAGGCAGGGCGGAGGACGGAGTGAGGACAGAGCAGGGACGGGGCGGGGGGTGGAGCAGGGGCAGGGCCAGTTTTTGGGCACTCGGTCTCTAAAAGGTTTGCCATCACTGCTATATAGTTCTTGAAATGCTTCTGAATGGACATCCAGTTCAGAAGGATTTAGAGTTTAGAGCCGTGGTGGCGTAGTGGTTAGAATGCAGTACTGCAGGCTAATTCTGCTGACTGCCAGCTGCCAGCAGTTTGGCAGTTCGATTCTCACTGGCTCAAGGTTGATTCATTCTTCCATCCTTCTGAGGTCAGTAAAATGAGGACCCTGATTGTTGGGGACAATAGGCTGACTCTGTAAACCATTTAGAGAGGGCTGTAAAGCACTGTGAAGCGGTATATAAGTCTAAGTGCTATTGCTATTCTTCTGGGGCTTACAAAACAGGAGGAGAACCCTGAAGTGTAACGTCTCAATTTTTCTATTTCTTTTCAGGCAGCACAGAAAAATCTATCCCCTGCCACTCACCTAGGTGAGAAATCCTAAAGCAGGCTGCCAGATTAGGAGTCAGTCTAAATATCCCAATCAGCACCAAGAGGTAGGGCTCTTGACACTCAACAGCCTGTTATCTTATTCAAAGGATGGCCTAACCACAGAGCAGCAGACTTAGTGTTAGTTGCATGTAATGGAAGGTATGCATATTACACATGACTATCCAAAGACAAGAGACTTCACTCCCAGGTTAGCATATCCCAATGCCAACCTGAGAATAAGATTCTAGCTCCATTTCACATCCCACAGATTGCCCAAGAAATAGACTAACTCCCTATTTGTAAAGCCATTTTCTTAAGGCTGCCATCTCTTCAGGCTGAAGCCCACAGACAATGCTGGTGACTACTAAGTGGTGGGTGTTCTTTCTAGTTGAGGGATGCAGGAAGGATGTATATATGTGCTTGGAGTTATAGAATTTTCATTGCCTTTGGTCTAAGCTAAGTCAGCCTTTAGACATGTGTTACAGTTCAGAAGGATTGCATAACTTTAGAAGAGAAGCAGAGTTGCATGTCTGATTTCATTTTCTCTACCCGGAGAACATCTGACAAATACCAGTGCACCAAACCTGTAGGTGTAGGTCAGTGATGGCGAACCTTTTAGAGACCAAGTGCCCCAAAACCAGCCCCTCCCCGCCATCCCCGCCACTGCCCACGCCCGCAGGGCCACCCACTGCCTCTACAGCCTGCCGCAGATCACCCAGGCGGCCCAGCAGTGCTATGGCAGCCACGCCTTCCACCTGCGCCCCACAGCATCAACTGCGCGCGACAGGGCACGAGGGTGGAGTCATGTCCCTGCTGCCCGGCTGCCATGTCCTTGGCTGCACTGCTCCGTGCGGGCCATGCTCGGGGGTGACTCTCCTCCAGGGGGGCTGCTGGTGAGGAGGGGGCCGTGGGGGGAGATGGGGCTGCACGTGCCCACGGAGAGGGCTCTGAGTGCCGCCTCTGGCACGCATGCCATAGGTTCGCCATCCCTAGTGTAGGTGGTTAAAATCCAAACAATGTGACTTTTAGATACCTAATTCCTTACCTCACCAATCATGCCATTCCATAAACCATCCACTATTTTACCATGTTTTCCATTTGTCACCAGGTAGAGATCATAGGAGAACTTCACAGTCTTGGCTAGTTTCTTTAGGATGTCAATGCAAAAACCTTTGCAGCAAAGTTTGGTATATGGGTCCATAGGTTCATTCCCGCTGGAAAAAAGATGAGAAGGCACTCAACAATCATTCTATGTCCTCCAAGCAAATCATGCCAGGACTATGTACAATTGCTCAAATCAAAGCCTTGAGACATCCTGAACCTAAATCACTAGGCCCTGGCATGTTTCCTCAGAGCCACATTATAGTCACTAGCCCAATTCCTCTGTTCCAAAATAAAAATAACCAAACCATTACTAGGATGTGGCAGTCTTGTATCCTTATTGCTATCTATAGTCCTGTTGTCTTTAGAAAAACACAGTCATAAATAATCAGCTTGCCAGCTTAGCATGGCACTGAATGGGCATGCCATCACAGGATATGACACATTCTAAATGAGCTGTGTAACTTCATCAGTGCCTAGAATGGCTAATGTTCCACATTTGTTACTTTCTGGAGCATCTCCTTGGTGTGAGGGCCATTATAGAAGGCAGAGATGCCTACACACAAATGCTCACACACAGTCCAGCTGTCAACATGTACTTTTTCTATTATTATTCTCTAAGCCTGGGATGGGTGGTCTTCGGGGATTGTGTGTGTGTGTGTGTAAATAGAGAGAGAGAGAGAGAGAGAGAGACAGACAGACAGACAGACAGACAGACAGACAGACAGATAGACAATGGATGGATGAATAAAAATACCAAATCCAATCTGAACATCTGGCTGATTGTGCAACCCACCATAATATATTTTTAAGATTGTTTACATAAGTAAAAGCAAATATAAAGAAAAATATGAAGAAAAGGGAGAAAGAAATAAAGAAAAAGAAGTGCAAAAGCAAAGCAGAATAAGAAATAAATTAGTTAAAGAAACAAGATGAAAACATGCTACTTCTGACCTTCAACTTCATTAGTTATAAACATACTCATTATTCCTTCTCCCTCTTGGTATTACAAAAATCTCCTCAGCTAGCTCTGATATCGTTACAATCCATTCCTCCATTCAAAGAAGTTCAGTATTCCTTCAAAGAAGCTCACTTTAATTAAATCAAACAAACAACAAAAATCCTAAAATTCACCATTTGGAGCAAAGTGGCAAGCAATGGCTCATAAGGGCAAGGATTTACCAAAAATTCAGAATCAGGATGCTTCTGAGAATTTTGGGTTGGTACCAGAACCAAGCTCACTAGTCCTTTTACACTATCATCCATTTTTTTTTGTTTTCCCTAAGCAATCCAATTTAGGGTGGGGAAAAGATGTTAATTTTGCAAAGTACATTGCAATAAACTCTTAAGGAGATGATATGCTATCTTTATCATCAAGACAATTCTTAATAACATCTGTGACAGCTTATGAACCCAAGAGGAGACGGAAGAACGTAAGGAGGACCTTGATGGGTCAGGCCATTGA